CCCTTGTAAATCAACAAACATCATCTTTGTTTTAAAGCCAGCCCTGGTGGCACAGTGATTAAAGCACTTGGTTGCTAACTAGAAGGTCAGTAATGTAAACCCACCGGCCATGCCACAGGGGAAAAGATGAGGCAGATTGTTTCCACAAAGAGTAAAGCCTTGGAAACAGTCTGAGGCAGTTCTACTCTGTCCTGTAGGGTTGTATGAGCCAGACTGAACTGGACAGCAGTGGGGTTTTTGAAGTTCCCCAGTACTCTGATGTGCTAAGTAGGAAGAAAATTCATTACAGTTGTATAAACAGCTGACAAACACTTCTTTGTAAGCTAAGTTGCAATGTCCCTGGAGAAGGGCGTCATGCTTGGTAAAGTAGAGGGTTAGGGAAAAAGAGGAAGACCTTAAGCAAGATGGATGAACACAATGGCGCCAATAACGGACTGAAACAACAACCACTGTGAAGATCAAACAGGACTGGACAGTATCCTCTCTGTTGTACACAGGGTCGCAATTAATAGGAATGAACTCAATGGCACCTAACAACAAGAAGCTGCAGGGCAGAAACCATGCAATTTTTCATCTATTAACTCCAGTTATCTTTAAGATGAGCCAACTACAGCATTCAAACTATGTTGTTGTTAAGTGCTGTGGAGTCAGTTCCGAGGAACTTGAACTGCCAACTTACGGTTCAACCTGACTTTGCAGTCCAATGCATTAACTCACAGTGCCACTATAGTTACTTCAAAAAGTTTTGATTGCCATGGCTCAAAAATTTGGGACTTGATTATGAGTCTATATTGTATTATGTTAAAATGAAGGAGTAGGAAGAGAAAAATAAGAATCTTATGCTATGGCTCAGAAAAATGCATTGCATTTTTTCCCCAACATTGGGTTGCTCCTTTTTCACACATGGAATGTGCAAGAGCAGGGGGTGGTAAAGAATGAGTGGGAGAGTTGGCATGTAGCACTTTGTTTCAAAAAAATACTTTTAGAAAAGAAAAATAAACTTTGGAGACAACCAAGCAACTTTCAAATACTGCAACCCTGATACTATCTAACTGCAAGGATATGTTTTGATAGAATACTAAGGACACAGAAAACTTGTGTATCCTTTAAACATACTTTCCTGATGCCAACAAGCAAAGCTGTTCTTCCATTACAGTAACCTCATAACTCAACTGTTACGTTTTATGTACTTTTTCTTAGCAAGTCAAAAGGCTATGCAATTGATGCCCATTTTTTGTGTGCTATTTCATAGGAGTATGTTATTAAACAATAACACAATACTGATTTTCTTAATGTATGCAGAAAACTCAAGTTCAAAGTTTTTGATCTAAGAGAAAGTACAAGGGGACTTCAAAGAGTACAAGAGAAAAAATTCATTATCTTATTTCATTTTTCTCCATGGACTTTTTGAAGTCCTTCCATACATTTGTAGTCTCATCTTTACAACACAAACCTTATGCTCCTTATGCTATTCAAATTCATAATCTGGGCCTTTCTATTTTAGCTACTGGTGAGTATGCATATTCCATATCCTAAAATAGAATCTGTTCTAAAATACACTGCAAGGACTGGCAAAAAATAAACCTTTAAACATTGTTGAAAATGTAGTTCTTAGTAATACAGATTATAAATTATGTATATTGTATATAGTGCCTTACAGAATATTTATATAGTATAATTATAAATTATGTATAATTGTATATAGTGCCTTACAGAATATTTACTCAAACATATATTCATTTCATGCTTAAATCAGTTAGTACCTTTCCATTAAAGTTGGGAGAAGCAAAGCACCATCATTGTTGAACATTACACCAGTAAATGCAGTACACTACCAAAAGGATCAAAGATCTAAATGTCAGGAAAACACTACAAAATTTTCATTATTTGGAAGTACTTAGAATATATAAGCGTTTTAATGAAATAACTTAAACTAATCCAAGCACCCAGCAACATACAAAGTTAACAGATTAAAAAGTTTCCTGTATTTGAGAGGGCTTCAAAAAGTTTGTGGAAAAATTCTACTGTCTTTTAATTCAATTTTCCCAGGAACTTTTAAAAGCACCCCTCATACTAGTTATTAACCAGTTAGGAAATGCAATAGAAAAACATGATTCCATTCAGTATAGTAATAAAAATCCATAAAATATTTAGAATGAAACTAGCTAGAAATGTATAAAACTTAAGTGGTTAACATTTTAAAACTCTACTAAAAGAATATGGAAAGATCTGTATAAAAGAAACATTTGGCATGTTTTTCAATGTGATTACTCAATATTATAAAGATGCCAATTCTTACCCCAATCACTCTCTAAATTTATTACAATCCTAAAGTAAAGACTTTTAGTATTAAAAATTAATAATGAAATATTTCATACAAAGAAAAAAAATATAAAGAATAACATAACAAAGAGCCATCTAACCCATAATATAATTTTCAAGACAGTTGAAAAGAAGAGCTATGAAACAGATCCCCCTTATGAAACAGCTAAACAAACGATGCAACTATAGCAACAAAAACAGTATGTTATGAGCACAGGATAAATGGTGTTACCAATTCTAGAAATGAACACTTAAATATACAAAAATGTAGTATATAATCAAGGTGACATTCCAGATCTCTGATACAAAGGCTGAGTGACTACAAAACTCTTCAGATAGCTGATTAGCATGAAAGAATTCCTGTCTTACATGACACAATTTAATCAATTTTCCATTCCACATGGATCAAAGATGGCAGGACTTTTATAGAGATAACAGGCACATAGATTGTTGCTGTTAGGTGTCATCGAGTTGGTACTGGCTCATAGCGACCTTATACAAAACACAATGAAACACTGTCAGGTCCCACACTAATTTTACAATTGTTACTTTGCTTGAGTTCATTGCTATTGTCACTGTGGAAAAATTCTACTGTCTTTTACCATTTTATTGGTGGTCTTCATCTTTTTTGCTATCCCTCCATTTATAAAGCATGATGTCCTTCTCCAGGGACTTGCCCCTCCTGATAACACATCTGAAGTATGAGAGACGAAGCCTTCTATCCTGGCTTCTAAGGAGCATTCTGGCTATACTTCTTTCAACACAGATTTTTTTGTTGTTTTGGCAGATACTGGTACTTTTAATATTCTCCTCCAACACCATAACTCAAATGCATCAATTCTTCTATGATCTTCCTTATTCATTGTCCAACTTTCACATGCATATGAAACTACTGAAAATACCATGGTTGGGTCAGGTGCACCTTAGTCCTCACACTGACATGTTTGCACTTGAATACTTTAAAGAGGTCTTGTGAAGCAGATTTGCCTAATGCAATATGTCGTTTGATTTCTTGACTGCTGCTTCCATTAGTGTTGATGGTTGACCTGAGCAAAATGAAGTCTTTGACAACTTCAATCTTTTCACCATTTATCATGATGTTGTTAGCATGGCCCACTGGTGATTTCTGTTTTCTTTATTCTGAGGTGCAACCCATACATACTGAAAGCTGTAGTCTTCATCAGTAAGTATTTTAAGTCCTCTTCACTTGCAGCTAGTAAAGTTGTATCCTCTGCATACGGCAGGTTGTTAATGACTCTTCTTTCAATCCTGATGCCTCGTTCTTCTTCATATAATAGAGCTTGTCGGATTATGTGCTCAGCATACAGACTGAATAAGTATGGTGAAAAAATATAACCCTGGAGCATACCTTTCCTGATTTTAAACCATTAAGTATCCTCTTGTTCTGTCTGAACAACTGCCTCTTGGGTATGTATAGGTTCCTCATGAGCACAGTTAAGTGTTCCAGAATATTCATTCTCTGCAATGTTGTCTACAACTTGTCCATGATCCAAATGATCAAAAGCCTTTGTGTAGCTAATATAACACAGGTAAACATCTTTCTGGTATTCTATGCTTTCAGTCGATTAACCTGACATCAGTAATGATATTTCTTGTTCCACAGCCCTGTCTGGATTTGGTATGAACTTCTGGCAGTTCTCTGTCAATGTACTTTGGCAGCCTTTTTAAAATCATATTAAGCAAAATTTTACTTGCTTGTGATATTAATGATATTGTCCAATGAGTTCCACATTCTATTGTGTCATCTCTCTTTGGAATAGGCACAAATACGGATCTCTTCCAATCAGTTGGACAGGTAAGGTAACTGTCTTCCAAAATTCTTGGCACAGATGAGTGAGTCCCTCCAGCGCTGCTTCAGTTTGTTAAAATATTTAATTTGCAGTTCATCAATTTCCAGAACCTTGTCCTTTGCCAATGCCTTCAGTGCATCTTTGACTTCTTCCTTCTGTATCATTGGCTCTTGATCATATTCGACTTCTTTAAATGGTTGAACACTGACCCTTTTTGGGGGGTATAGTGACTCTGTGTATTCCGCCCATCTTCTTTTGATGTTTTCTGTATCATTCAATTATTTCAAGCTGAGGCTTCAATTTTTTTCTTCAGTTCTTACTGCTTGAGAAATGCTGAGTGTGCATATACATTGCAAGGCACAAAATGGGGCACTTAAGAAGTCAGCCAAGACCACTTACTATCTACATGACTTTGTTCAGGCAAAAACCTAAACCTATTTTAATTAAAAATACATTCAATTAAGAATGATTTTGTTACTCAGAGAGTTTCTGTGAGGAAAATGGGACATTATGCTGAGACATCATATGTGAGGGTAATCTGACTGCCAGATAGTCTGCCCTACTGATTTCCAAGATTCACTTAGCTATTTCTCCTCTGGTAATTTCTTTCTTTCTCTCTTACTGCAAAAACTGTCTATTTGGTGGAAGAATATATTGTGGGGTATGTACAGTGCTCTAGCACACTCATTTATATACAGTAGTTAGAAATGTTCATTTTTTAAAAAATAAACCAGATGCTCAAGGTCCCACTGGTCAATCTAACATGCCACAGAACTGTCTCCTCAGGTCCTGATTCTCAGTCTGAAAACCAGTGGTATATTTAATAAGCATCCCAACCCATATGTACACCCATTGCTTCATACTTACAGGCTGAGGCTGTTCTGCAATACAGCAGTTGAAACACAACCAGAATTCACTCATGCTTATAGTCCCAGGTATAAATAAGCACCAATGAAGATTCCAAATCTCAATTCAGGAAGCGCCACAAAGTATGTTCCTCAATATGATGAATGTCCAATGATGTCAAAATAATAATTGTATTGCTTCACTGTATTCTTGTTTTTGGAAGTCAAGTATCTTATGCAGTCAATTTAATAAAGAAAATAAAAAACTTTCTTTCCTTTGCTTCTGATTCTACAGAGACTCATTTCTGAACCATCAGGTAAGCATAAAAATTGCAGGGTTGAACCAGGACCTATAGCTGGTTGTCTAGAAAGAAAGAAAAAGAAAAAAGAGATTATTTATCCTTAGAGGCTATTTTCTCCCTTAAACTTGATAAAACCTTAAGAGTAAATGATATTCAGATGTATACACTAGGGCAAAACAAACAAGATTTTAAATGAGTATCAGGTGCTAGGGACATAATAGTGAAAAGTAGACCTAAATCTTTGACTTCAAGCGGCATTCTATTTATGACAATGAAACTATGAATCATTTTAACAAGTTTATGTTTTTTGAAAATCATGAATTAGAACACAATGATTACCAAACAAAACTCCCTAATTTTAAGAAATGCTGATCATCATTTTTACGTTATAGTGTCTTTGACCAAGTTCCTTTATTCTCACAGTTAACCCTGATCATAAATGGAACAGCAATAAACTCTAGCTATTAAGCAGCTATAGCTCATCATGGAGTCCTGATAACCCAGTGGTTAAGGCACCCAACCGCTAACCAAAAGGCTGACAGTTTGAAGTCATCAGGCACTCTGCAGAAGAAGGGTGTGGCAGTCTACCTCCACACAGGCTCACAGCCCCGGAAACCCTATGGGGCAGCTTTATGCTGTCTTGCAAGGTAGTGGGTTTCATTTTTTATAGCTCATCAAAAACTATAAACAAAATTATTACCTTACTAATCAAAAGTAGAAATGTATTCATGGGGTACAGTTATGCTGTGTGTGCACATATGTGTAAATAAAACTATCACTACCACAGGAATGATATATGTCAGTCAAAATATATCTCCCTCTGGCCAACCAAGGCAAGACAATGAGAATTCCCCATTCTTTCCTTCCTGACTACTCAGCTGCTGTCCTCTAGGATGACATTAGAAAACCATTTCCCACACTTCATAGAAAAGACGGAGTCCTAGTGTGGCACTGTGGGGTAAAGTACTGGATGGCAAGGTCAGTTTGAACAATAAAG